GTTTCTGACAGTTAACATCTAAATGTCTTCTCACCATTAATCCAGTTCCTCAGCTGCAAGCAGTGCAATGGATAGTTCTGGCGTAACTACCCATTAGGTACTTCAGCTTTCTGGCTGAAACCAGGACAAGTATCTTCACTTTCAGTTCTTCAGATTAGTTTGTGATTTCTTGGAGGCTCCTGGGCACAGGTGGTTTTTCTTCTTTGCTTTGAGAAGCAATATGAAGGTGGAAGGAGGATGAAGAGTGCCGAGACTCTCCCTTCCCAGCTGGAATGAGTGTGGTACTCCAGTTTCCAGGCATGAGACACTTGACTGCCCGATGGTTTTGTTTTGAGCGGCGTTCAAAAGCTCCGCTTCTGCGTTAGGCTGGGAGAAGGAAAGGGATTGCCAGATCACAGGTAGGTCAGTAGCCTTAGCTGCTCTGCACCTTTTGCCAAGAAGGGAATGAAGCAGGAACATCCCTCTAGCAGAGCAATCCGTGCAATACAGGCGATTTTGTAGGCATGGAAAGTTCTTGGTAGGCCAGCGTGCTACAGATGACTTTTTTGTTCAACAGAGTGATCTAGGAAGACTGTTTGGTTCCTGTTGCTGGATGCGTGCCTGTCGTGTGGATGAGTTGCTGGTTTAGTAGGGGTTTTCCTTCATGCCTATCACAACATCTCTCCAAAACCGGTGGTGGGATCACTAGAGCAGTCTTGTAGCAAGCCCTTCTCGGCGCAAGGCGTGAGGTGGCTCATTCTGCACCTCTGTGTGACAAATCATGGAGAAGAGAAAAATGCACAAAATTCTGCAGGCTAAGAGTGACTTCTGTGGAGAGGTGGGAGAGTTTCTCCAAAGAGATGTTGAGGAACTGACCTAAAACATTGCTTTTGGCTTCTGTGGGGTATGGAGCCAACTGTGGGACCTTTTTTTGCCTTATCGGTCACAATGGTTTGTGATAAATTCTTGTTGAGTATGACTCCAGGATTCCTTACGGATGCTGAACCTGGTCATTCCCACCTCTGTTAGAGAGTATTATGTCAGAACAAGGACTTGGGAGAATAAACAACGCTCCAGCTTCTGCAAACCCCTCTGGGGTTGTGGCAGTTGTTTTGTCGTGATGATATCGTGTATAGAGACTGAATCTTTTTCACCATGCTTTGTGACTGATCCACTCAACATCAGTTTGTTTCTACCAGTAATACACTGGTAGTACTGAGCCAGCGCAGAGCAAATGGGGTTCAGTCGTGCGTTTGAAGACAAACAGAATTCACCTGACTTTGGACTTCAGGCTTTTAGCGGGGTGTGATCTGGAAGAAGGACCTTCCCTCGGTCTCCAGACTGAGTAGGTCAGGGAGAAACCTGGCTGAGGTTGTTTTTTGGGCATTTGTTTGTTTGTTTGTTTGTTTTTAGACAAAGAATCCATTGTGGAAATTTTTGAAAGTGCAAATCAGAAATTGCATTTCTGCATGTTGTCCTGTATTTCCACAGTAAACCTGGATTTCAGAAGGTTTGCAGTCCTGTGGAAGGGTTGCTGAGTGGTACTGGTGTTTCCCGTGGTGGCACTTAAAGGATTGACTTGACAATAATGCCAAAATGTGTGGGGTTGGCTTATTTTGTTTTTCCATAAGTTTCCAGATATTTAGTTCTTCATCTTTAGATAAGTGCTTCGTGGTACTAGAGCAGCTGACCTCAGAGCATGGGGACGAGAACGTAGAGACCCGATGCCAAGAAGGAAATCTATGCAGACGTAACCTTTTATTAAAAACCAATAAATAAAAAACCCCAGCTGCCCGCGATCGCTTGATTAGCGTTGAGCTTAAGAACTTGTCGTGTCAAAGGACTTGCACATCAAACGGATCGCATGGAATCTCGGTGCTCTTCCCGCTTTAATGTGTCTCTGACTCGATATCTCTGTTGTCATCTTCGCGCGTTCAACCGGAGCGTTTCTCTCGACGTTCCCAGTTGCAGCCTGGGTCGGAGCGCTGGCTGTAAACGCGTTACGGCACGGCAAGACCTTGCTACCTGTTCCCATCTGGAAGATGGGTCTCACGTCCGGGCTTCGGAGAAGGAGGTGGATTCCTCACAGGTGTAGGAAACGTATGTAGAAAAAAAGAAAAAACAAAACCACAACCAAACCACAAACCCAGCAGTTTTCATTTCGGGTGGTGTAACTTAAAGCATTCCTATGGCTATTTCATTTAAGCGACTGTTTGTCTTGACGTTCCCTATGGGGTCAAACAGGGAAGACGGTCGCTGTGCTGTTAATGACTCTGCTCTTCTGTTGGAAAAATCCCCTTCAACCTCTAGCAGACTTTTTTTAACTTGACAGCAGATGTGGTGTGAACAGAGCTGTGCTTCAGGTATTGGATTTTTAATAGATGCTCTAACTCATTCGGCTACTGCGGGGCTCCAAAGCCCCAGCAAGCGATGGATGTGCAGCAAGTGGTGGAAGGTCACACTGCTGCGTTGGGAGAGCTGGAGGAGATGGGGATGGCTCATGCTGGGGTTTAAGGCAAGCCAGGACTCTGTATTTTGGGTTTGTCCCTCTCTGCTGAGCACTTCTGCCAGAGGCTCAATCTCTCGACAGGGACAACAGAAAATGGGATGAGAGTTGCGAGGAAAACACTGGTCCATGTAGCCTGGGAAGAGTTGTCCTCCCCAGGGCAGGGTTATACGGGATGCCTGGTCTGCCACTGCCAAACCCTGCCCTGTCTGATTTGTTTTTTAAATTATAGCTCTCTTGCAAACTCCAGAGGTGGTGTGTGGTCAGTTTGGCCTCTTGTGCAAGAAGAATTCCGATTTTTTGGGGGAAATTGTCTGTCTCGCTTGATAATCATCTTCCTAATTTCCAGAACCTGTTTTTTTTTATCAGAAAAACATGGTTATACATAAACGTTTGCTCCCCGCAGAGCCCTCCCATTTGGGCACTAGCCGTGGGGGAGATCCCGGGTGTAACGGGGTGTAAGGGCTGTTACCCCAAAACGTGTCAGCGAGAGTCTGACATCTAGAAGAGCAACGTGCAAACCCCAGTGGTTTTCAGTTCCTAAGTTTCTTTTAGTTAATGCATATACAAGCAAGTCAATTAAAACACATTGGGCTTATTTCAAATAGATAATCTAATTATCAGCTTGATTAAACCATAGCAAATGAACAGTCCTTGTAATTCGCTAGCTTTGTTCTAATCACTGCAAAAGCAGGAGTAGCTGTAATTAAGAGCCTCAGGAGTGGCAGACCAGCGTCGATCGTGTCGGTTGAGGGGTGTTCCAGCAAACACCGGATTGCGGGGAAGATCGGATCGCTCCTAGGTTGCTAACACAAAGACCGACTCTTTGGTGCCAATAAAGGGAGTCTGACTAATTAATAAATGCCATTAAATGCAAGTAACTGTCCTTTTCTGCTGTTTCCAGTGCTCAGATACAGGCTTAATTGAATCTATTCTAACATCACTCAATTAGGCTGACTTTTTTTTTTACTGTTTATAGGTTAGTATCACCTACCCGTTGCCTTTCTTAGCACTAGACCTACAGCTTCTCGTGGGAACGTGTGCTCCTTCAGGCAGCAAAACTGGTTTCTCAGATGGCTGACACAAGCCTGTTGCAGGTCGCTTGCTGAAGTTGCAACGTAGGAGCGCAAAGGCACGGTAACCCGTGTGCTGAAAATGGAACCAGAACACTAAAAATCAGGTGTGGTTTGCTGGATGAGTGGGGCAGCCAGCACGTGGCTGGAGGGGCTCTCTGGATGGTGCTACTCATCTTCTGTCGCTTGCTTACCAACTACTTGGAGGCCATTGAGTAGTAAGCTCCTACTCGTGCTGTGGTCAGAAAGCCTCAGATGGACTCGTTGCTCGACTAGGTGAGCGGACAACCTCGGTTACTGATTTTGAGGGTGAAGGCAATCCGTGGTTTTCTCCATTTCTTCTGGTTTTGATGCTTCCTGGCCCTGGAGACCTCTTGCAATGCGTTGCTCGGAGGGAGCCATCCTCCTCCTGGGGCTGTGCCTTGTGCCTTTGCAGGAAAAGTTTCCTCTTACGATAAATCGGAGCCGGACCATTTCTCTAACGTTCTCCCTGACTGGGAAAGTCCAGATGTGCTGAAGCTATCCAGTCTGCCAGCAGCTTTGTTGGGGCGCTGGGGCTTGGTTTGCTCAGCCGTGCCTTCAGTGAGGCTGTTCCTGTCCTGGGTGCAAATTCTTATTGCTTTTTTTTTTCTATTTTAGTGATTTGTGTTGGCTTTGGACAGTGACTTGACACAGCATTTAAGTGAAAAGTAGGAATAACATACAGATGAGTAGTTCTTTTTCCTCCCATAAAGGTATTTTTAGGGTGTCTCTGCCGAACGTGATGATTTGGTGGTTTAATGTCCACAACGTTTGTAAAATGCAACTGTAGGGAACTGCAGACAACAGCAGCGGGTAGCCAGGTCCTAACCTGCACAGGGATTTGCATGTATTTAATTTATTAACGTTGGCAGATCTCTGCTTAGTAGACCAAGTTTACTTTTCACATGGGTAGGTGGACTTTTTGTTTTTCTTTTGTCTAACTGGTTCAGAAAACGACACTGAAACAGCCTGCCTGTATCGACACGCAAGCAGTCAAATACCTGGCATTTCTCTCTGCCATGTGCCCTGGACCAGTGTCCAGGTCGGCTTTAGTAGGTTTGGTGAGAATTTTTAAGGTGTTAGAAACAGCATCGATGTAACAGGGAGAGTATGTGGAGCGGGAGCTGGGCAAAGCTTTCTGACCATACGCTGGTTTTCCCAGCTGCTGTGACATTGGCCATCACTGTCTTGCTTTTAGCTACTGTTGTGTTCTATGGCTTAACGTTAAACCACGTCTCATGGCATCCTGTCTCTTCATTGGCTTAACTGGCCGTCGCCCAAAAAGGCTCTACTGTGTATAGAAAGAAGCTTCCCCAAATATTTCCTAATTGGCAGTTGGTGCTTTGTGAGGAGCTGGGTCCCTCTCAGCGATATTGATAGATGTTTTCTTCTGTTCGTTCGCAGGATTGGACATTGATCCTATGACGCATGCCCGGAAGAAACAACTTTTCCTTCTGAAACATCCAGCTGGTTCTGCTGGCCGAGCTTCGTCGCCAACGGGCAGCGGGAGGATGGACAGGCCCGAGGCAGAGTGCGGCGAGCAGAGAGACGGAGATGCCACCGAGGCTCCGAACGGTCCGAGTGGGTTTGTAGGGACGAGCAAAAGCAAGAATTTGCACGAGGTGCGAAAGACGTACCCGCTGCGGAGGCGGCTGCTCCCCTCGGTGAACAAAAAGACCTGCAAGGTGCTCCTCACCAGGCTGGAGGATGTGGCCGGGTCTCTGTCGAAACAGACCCAGAGCTGTAAAAAAAAGGACCTTCCCAGTTGGATGGAGGGTTTGGGATCTGCTTTGTTCTCCGAGCAAGTTCAGCCTGTGGGAGCAGGTAAGAGTGATTCATCTGGGGAAAAGTGCACAATAACTTATCCGGGGACAGAGCCAGACCTTGACGCTGCGCCGTCGGAGCCCAGGAAACGGCGGCTGGCCTCGCTGAACGCCGAGGCCGTCAACAATCTGCTTTTTGAGCGGGATGATGGCTTGTTATCCGGCAGGCGATTCCGGAGGGACTCCGTTAAAACCGGTGGAGACTGTGCCGTTAAGAGCTTGCATTGCAAAGCTGGTGACAACTGTCCTGCGCTGGAAAAAAATGCTGTGAAAACAGGTAAAGGGAAAAACCGGCACGAGCCCGGCCAGAAATGCAATAGCTGTGACCATTCACTGGATGAGGTCTTTGACGATGGGACAAAGAGGGAGGACGGTGCCGTCTCCTATCATCCCACCCCAAAGAGACTGGCCAGCCTGAATGCCGTGGCCTTTCTGAAGCTGACCCATGAGAAGGACCAACCCCTGAAGCAGAGGAGTAAATCGGACGGAGAGGGCAAGTCCGAGAACCACTGTTCAAAATCCACGCTCAAGTGGGCCAAAGCCGGTCGGAAGAACTGCGTCAAATCCAAGAAGGAAACGGCTAGCTTGAAAATGGAAGGGCAGCACGGCTGGCGAGGACTTTCTCTGGGTGCTTTTGGGAAGGGGGAGCAGCGGGACTCCTCTCGGCTCTACGGGGCGACAGAACCCGTCCCGTACGAGTCGCTGTCGAGCTCCTACGCTAGCACCGAGGGTTTCTACCACAGACTGCCTTTGCTCATGGGTGGACAAGCTTCCATGAAGCCGGAGTACGGAAGACCAGGAGAGAAATCCCCGACCCCCAAACAGGAATTTCATCAGCCCTCCTTTCCCGTGCAGCAGTTCCCTCCCTTGCCTGTGCCCGGAAATCACACGGATTGTGGATGTCTCTACGAATCCTCGGATCTGACTCCGCTGAACGGGTTTTACGTTTATTATGGCCAAAGTGGATACAGTGGCTACTCTCACTGCTCCGTTTACCCCAAGGACGAGCTTTCGCAATCCGCTACCTGCGAGGGGCTCTTGGTATCGCCCGGTTCCTTGCCGTCAGGCGCTCACTTCCAGCCACTCCACTGGTGTAACTCTCCGTACTGCTGCGGAGAAGGAACGGCGATTAACAGCTACAGCATCTGCGGAGTCGTGCGCGTGCCGGAGGGCAGGATGGGCAGCGTGCACGCAGGGCGGAACAGCTACCCCTACAAAATGCCTTTTGCAGCAGGTAAGGTGCAAAGTGCGAGCAGATGTCGTTCGGCGTTCCTAGGAGAGGAGGGCCGGTTCGGCGCGGCGGCTAACGAAGGTATCCGGTTGCCGGGAGGCGAGCTCCCTCTGCGTGTGGCGCGGCTCCGCTCGGCAGCCCGGCTGCAGCTCGGAAAGAATCCGCCATCCACCTCCCTTTCCCCCCCCTCCCTGTTTTTAGCCCTGAGGGTTTTTCCCACTGGAAAGGTCTTATTGGTGCGGAAAGCGCAGAATGGATGGAAGGACTTGGGCAGTGAGAAGGTGACTCACGACTTGTCGTGCCGAAGCTCACCGCTTGGCTTTGATCCGCGTAAAACGCGCGGGTTGGAGTTCCTACGAGCTCTGCGAGGTTTCTCGCTGTGCCGCTCTGAGCAGAGGGTCTAAAGCACGTGGGGCCGAGTTACTCCCCCGTTCCCAAAAGCTCGCTCTGGGGACCACAGCATCCTTG